AGTTGTAAATTGGCTGTGTCCACGGGAGGAGGTGAGTTCCGAGTCTGCTTACGCCGCCATCTTGACTCCGCCGTCTGAGCTACCTTTTCCTTGTTTTCAGAGTTTTCATTCTTGCTCTTGGTGGTGGTGGTTGTCATAATGGCCCCTCAGCTGTACACTTGAATTTCTCCTTTAAGGGACCTCAGTTACTCCCTGGTAGTACATTAGATACCTGGGGGTTTACCACCTCTGCCATCATGATCATTCTTTAATACTGAAGGAAATAATACACAGAACTCCTGAAAATATTAGATCCTTAAAACAAGACAAAGTGTCTTTAAATATATATTTTCAAGTATGTATACATGTTTTTTTAAAAGTGTGTGTTGGGAGAATGAAGGAGTAGATGATATTCTTTTGTGAATTGTAGAGTTGTAAAGCCAGAAAGAGAAAAATTAGCGAAAGAGCAGCTGTACTTAGAAGGCTGTTTTAAAAAATTATAAGGCAAATAGTAATTATTATGAAAGATAACAGAATTTGCCAGGTCTACAATGGGGAGAGAAATGGGGGGAGGGTGTTATCAGCCAGATAGTATCCTATTTATTGCAAAGGAGTCATGAAACAATATGGCAAGTTGAGTGAACGGAGGTTACTTTGTTATGGCTGTAGCGTAGCAGGGATGTAAGGGAACTTTGCATTAGAGCCATCTATAGTATTTGGTCTTTTCACTTCTGCACTCCATGCTCTATGAGGTTGGTGCTAAGGAAGTTTAAAAAAACAGATACTCCGGTGGAATTGGGTGAGATATACAGTCTACAACCGGCTACTTTGGTATGTTATCTCTTGTCTTTGACGGGAAGATAGTGCTTTTGTTTTTGAATATTCTGAGATCTCTTAGAATAGATTATAATTTTCTTTTGTGCTTGGGTATATATAGATAGAGCTGGGGTCCTTTCTCATATTTACTATATAGGCCTCATCTACTTATGTCAGGCATTGGGGAAGACACTTATGGATCTGAGCAGCATCCTTGATCCCAAGCAGTAAAGACTTCCTTGATTTCAAAGGGGGCTTTCTTATGTTGTTGGGAGGCACTGCATATCACAAGATATTCAAAGCCCATAAGAGAAATCAAGATGACCTGATGAAGTTGATGTCCTTCAATCTCCACCTGCCCAAGGACAAACTGTGAGCTTTGTACCAAGGTCACTTCTATTTCTGCAGATAATAATCCCACCGTTAATTATGGGATGTGGTAGTTACGGTAATGAAGAAGAGCTAAATTTGGAGGGGTTTAGAAAATGTTGCAATGTAAAAGGAGTTTTTAATTTCTATAAACATTTTTCAAAGTTTACTCCTTTAATCTGGATTTAAAATTTATTCATCAATTCAATAAACATTTATTGAGTGCCTGCCATGTGCCAGGCACTGTTCTAGTTGCTGGGATAACAGCAGTGAACAACACAGACAAAAACCTCTGCTCTCATGGAGTTTATATTCTAGTGGAGGGTGACATAACAAAATATAGTATGTTACATAGTGATAATTCTGAGAGGAAAAATACTACAGGGAAGGGATGGGGTCTGCCTGGTGGTGTAGTGGTTAAGTTTGCACGCTCTGCTTCAGCGGCCTGGGGTTCACAGGTTTGGATCCCGGGCGCAGACCTATGCATCACTTATCAAGCCATGCTGTGGCAGGTATCCCACATATGAAGTAGAGGAAGATGGGCACGGATGTTGGCCCAGGGCCAGTCTTCCTCAGCAAAAAGAGGAGGATTGGCAACAGATGTTAGCTGAGGGCTAAGCTTCCTCGCACACACACACAAAAATACTAAAGAGAAGCGAGATAAAGGTATTCTGATATGGTTTGCAATTTTAGGCAGAGTGAATGCAAATTTAGAGTGTCCAGGGAAGGACCCTCCCAAAAGATGACATTTGAGCAAAAAACTAAAGGAGATGAGGGAAGGGAGCCGAATGGATATCTGGGCTCAAGGATATTCCAAGCAGAAAGAACAGAAAAATGGATGTATGCCTGGGGTTTCTGAGGAACAGCACAGAGCCCAGTGTGTCTAGAATGGTGTGAGTAAGGGAGACAGTAGTAGGAGATGATGTCAGAGAAAAAACAGTGAGGCCAGACCACAGAACCTAATAGGCAAGGTTTAATCTTCGTGAGATGGGATGCCACTAAAGGGTTTCAAGTAAAGGGGCAACTTGAAATTACTTACATTTATAGGACTATGTTGATTTCTGGGTTGAGAATAGACTGAAAATGTTGAATCCCCTACTTCCAAGATGTCAGAAGACATCATGAGGTTAATAAATTTTAACAAGCATCTGTAACTCTATAAGCCAGACTGGTCTGTTCTTTTTGTCTTAATATTTAGACAGGCCATGGCTTATGAGAAGGCTCAGGCCTGATAACAGTCTTATCTTCTCATGAGTAAATATTTGTTGAATGAGTGAACAAAAAATATTGATTGAGAATGAAAACAACAAAAGAACAGAAATCATAGTCAATAACTACTTTTTGAAGAAATCCTGAGCATGCTGAATCAATACTACTAATAGTGCCTATAGCCTAAATTTTCTATTGAAAATATATAATCATTTAGCAAAATATTTACCTGTGTGGTGACATTTCTTTCTTTTTGCTTTTTATTATGTTTTTCTGCTTCGATATCTGCAATATACAAAACATTTTCACAAAATTTGAAAACATTTTCTTTTTAAAATTTCACTAAATCAATACAGTTTCTTATTAAAAAACTTTCTAGATAACTTTTAGAACTCTAAGAATAACAGTTGAAAATAACTTACATTTAAAGTTACTAATAATGTGTTTCAAAATAATTCCTTCACTTATAATTTTTAAAGATGTAACTTAACACTAGAGATAATCTAAATACTTTAATCACGCATCCTGAAACTGAGTTAACATGAAAGAGTTCTAGAAATAAGAGAGCTAATTACAATAGAGGAAAACTTTCTGAGCTAGAATTTAATTAAAATGTATCTATGTAAATAAATGCCATCTATTAATAGAGAATATTAAAATAGAGAAGAGGGAATACAATCTTGTATATTTTTATAGACTCATCCATATGTCACAGAGATACTAAAAGTTAATATAGTTGAATGGTATAAATATCTGAGAAATGTAGATTAGTATAATTATATCAGGGTTTGAAATTTGAGAAAATAATTTTCACAAACAATTTTTAATGAATCTTTTTATAAAGAATAGAATATATGTACCATATAGAATACATAAGTAGTCATTGGTATATTTTATTTTTGCATAATACTTGAAATTTCTTGACTTACATATTTAGAAAAATAAGTCTTTGAAAACCTGATATAAAGGGGTGGCACAACATGGCATGTCAACTTAATTACATTATTAGGATTGATAATTTTCAATTACTGAAAAATTATTTGATACACAGTAAAAATGACCCTACAGATTTCCTGAAGTAAAATATGCATATTATGTGATGCATTCACATTTTATGGACTGAAGAATTTGGCTCAAGACAACTATGGGGTAGTCAAAATTTTATATTTCCAAAAGTCATGAACTTATACTTTACAGCAGGTAATGAATTTTCTAATGTTGTCTCTGACATTGTATTTTTAAATTTGATATGTTTTATTCTCTCTCTCACTGATTAATATTAGTATTTGGCCTTACAATTCTATGTCCATTCTGCTTGCTTTGTAAGCCAGACCTTATAGAAATACATCCCAGGTTTTTTGGTATTTAATCCTCTGTCAAATTAGAGAAACAATTGGCAAATTCTAAATAAAAATTCAAAACCTGCATGGTATTGATGCATTAATCTAAAGCATATGAAAAGTTTAAAATTTCATACAATTATATTCATCAGGATTAGTCTTTAGGTTCAAGAATGTTATTACAAATGAAACTTTCTTTATCCCATGTTTGCCAAGTGGTCACTTTGGGGCCATAGACACTCATTATCAGAGACAACATAGCATCATGATCCACCATGTAGCCTTTGAACCCATGTTCTAGTCCTGATTTTGTACCTATTTCATTAATTTATGATAGTTAAATGAGATAATCTATGTAAAGTATTTAGCACAGTACTTAATATATATTCAGTGCTTAATAAATATTAACTATATATATAAAATTATGATTATTATTATATGAGGCCTACTTCTTTAAAGGATTTAAGATACCTTCAAGATAATAATACACATAAATTAGTATTTTTAAATGACTATGGCAAATAATGCATTATTAGAGACTTAAAATATTATTAGAATTTATTAATGCTTTGCCTATAATATGACTTCTCTCTCAGTTAAAGCATTTTATTCAACACAAATTATTTAGCCTAATTATATTTGTATATTAGAAATCAGATATGGTGACTGATATTATAGTCACAGTACATGTCTAGTAATTTTTAAACTCCAATACCACAACTAGAAAAAGTGAACTGGAAAAAGCAATGTGATTTGGTATATTCCCATTATTATATTTCTCAAAGTACACAGAATGAAATTAGAGTTAGTATGCACAGAATGTACAGACACAAAATAAGAAGTACAAAGTGTCATTTGTATCAGAGCAAGAGGAGAAAATTATGGATATTAAATAAAGTTTGTATTATACATTGGACCAGAAAATCAAATTGTCAGTGGTCGAACATCATTAACATGAAAATTACAGGGCTAAAAGCAGTTATTAAAGGTAGGATAAGTGTAGATGAAAGAATTAGTGAAATGGGAGGTGTAAGAGTCTAACTGAAGGAACCAACTATTTAATAGCTTAAAACATAAAAAGAAGGTAAAGACTGTTGGTCATTACTTCTAGCAGAAGATGCGCCATCCCAAAATAATTCTTTTGAAACTTATGTAAAAAATGTGTTTCTTTTCTAAATTTTGGCCTTTTTGGTTTTTGCCTAAAGAAAATGAAGTTTTGATTGGCTACTGGGGAAAACATTCTGCTTCAAACAGTACCTTGCACAATGCTTTCTAGTAGGTTTTTTATATCAATTGACAAACATTGGTGATTGCTGGAGAGCTGTTCCACTGTTTCATCACTTCCCTCTATATGAATATTGATAGTGCCACAAATTCCAGCACTCCATGTGAAAAACACAATCCACTGGGGGCAGGAAGAAAATACTAGACCTTTTACTTATATGAAGTTAAAAAATTCTCCTTTTTAATTTCTATTTTTGGGTGTGTTTTATAATATATTGGATCAGTAGTATATCATTATAATAAATAAATATACATATAATAGAGTATACCATCAAAAACGTTTGATATGGAGTTAGCCTAGGAAGGGGACTAAAGTTTCGTTCAGCTCTACAACTGTAGCTCTAGCTATAATTTATTATGTGCCAGTTGCTTTACATACTTGATCTCCAATCTCTATAACAACCCAGCAAGATAGCAAGCACAAAATATTTGTATTCTATTTTACTGATGAGGAAACTGACACCAAAGGACAATGAGTAACTTGTTCAAGGCCACAGGGCAGAGTGGGATTCAAATGCAGGTCTGACTCCAGAGCTGTCCTTCTTTCTACCCCACTGTTTCTCCAAACTTTACCAAAGGATTCACGATAGATTGATTTTAAACGGCAAGCTTCTACAATGCCATAAACTCCATTATCTTTACAAAAAATTGACTTATGCACAAAATTTTATGGGACATGTCTATTTGTATAATGTGAAACACACCATTTTCTGTATATGAGAGCTTGAATTTACTACCCCCCCAATTAAGAGAGAAGAATTTTGAATAAGGAAGAAACTAGTGCTACAGCCCACTTCCTCTAAAAGAATTATCCATGTGACTTTGGGGGGCATGGAGTGAACCCCATCAGATTCATAGAAAACCCACAAAGTTTTTGAAAGAGTTGTGTGGAAAAACACCACTAGCTTGGACTGAAAGAGAGTGACATAGTTCAAAATGAAAAGAGGCCTCTGAGCCCCCACACTTCTATTAGTAGGAAGCAGGATGAGAAAGCTACTCAGCTACAAGTATGGGTCATTTCTTATGCAGAAGAAAGGACAACTCAGAGGGCAGAGCCGGGAGCCCAGAGAGTGTTGCCAAGAGCCAAGGAGAACAAAAGATTAGGGAACTACTCCAAGAGAGTAGAACTGGGCCCTAATCAAGAAACATTGCCTACCCCTGGAGTAGAGGAACCTGCTATCATGCACCTGGCTAGATTTCTATATGGACCAGTGACTTTTATATGTCTCCCCTTCCCCCTGTTTGGACAGCAATGTCTAATTAGTGTGTTTTTCTTTCTCTCCAGTGTACAATGGGTATGTGAGAGAATGGGAGGATAACTTGTCTTTTTAGTTCACAAGTGTCTGAATCTAAGAACTGTACCCAAGGAGCCTCGTCAATATCTTGACCTGATGCAGATTATGAGATGATGGATTCTAAGCCTGATGCTATGATTGGATGAGATTTAGGCAGTCTTGGAAGGGGGAGAATCAGGTGAGAGATATATAAATCTTCTTGAGGCCTGAAGGTAGACTGTAGTAGATTGTTACAACAATGGCCCCCAATGAGTCACAACTACCTGTAATCATACCCCTTTACAATGTGACTTTGCCCAATCTTCCCATCAACAGATGGAGACTTTTCTCTTCACTCTTTGAACTGGCTGCGATTTGACTTGCTTTGACCAACAGAAATGTGGCAAATGACATTGTTCAACTTTCAAGGCTAGTCCTTAGGTTTTTCAGCCTCTTTCACCATCTTGGAACAATGCCATGTAGACCACCATGCCCTGAAGAAGCCAGAGATAATATATCATGTGGAGAAAGGCCCACCCGTCTCAGCTCACCACCAGCTGAGTGAAGCTGCATGAGTGAGTCCAGGTGAGACCAGCAGAAAAACCATCTAGTCAACCCACAGAGACTTATGAGAAATAATAAATCATTGTTGTTTCAAACCACTAAGTTTTGGTTTGTTTGTTATGTAGCAATTGGGAACTGAAACAAGTTTGTTCAGCGTACTAGGACTCCTCGGATAGAATTATCAATTCTCAGAAGCTACATTAGCATTGAGAAAAGGATTAGAAGAAAATATATCCCAAAATATTTTCTGGATCACATTTCTTTTCAGATCCACTTTCTCATGAAAGGCTTGATATACATTAACTCCTGGCTTTACCATTCATTTCCCTAATGTGGCTCACCTCCTTTCTTCCAGGACATGGTTCATCTTCCTTTGAATAGACATTGGGACACTGATTAATGTGACTGTTCCTTTACTGACTGAGGTTCTGAAAAAAAGATACCTCTGTACTTTATGGAGGAATCTGCCTGGGGAGTTATAGGCACATAAGAAAATCAGTTTCTGTTTTCTTGTTCACACACCATTTACAAATGAAACTAAATGGAAGTATTTTATTGATTCTCCTATCCTAGTTCTCTAAAATGGTGTTTCATGCCTCACTTAGGGCTTCACCTGATTCATTTGCTTTGACCACTAGATATAGTAACGGTATAAAAAGTATTAACTATTGGTTCTTTTCTAACCTTTCTTTTAGACTGTGTAGTATACTGGCTTCTGTGACTCTACACCATCCTGGATATCCTTCTTTCTTACAAATCCCTATTCTAGAATTCCCCTTTGGTTTTGTATCCACTAACGATTGTGTATTTCTCAATGCTCAGT